AGGACATTTGGCAATATCTGGAGACATTTTTGATTATCATATGTGGCAAAGTGCTACTGGCATCTAGTGAGTAGAGGCTGGGGTGCTGCTAAACACCCTAAAATGCACATAACAGGATAGTTCCTCCCCAACAAGGAAGTATCCGACCTAAAATATTCATGATGCTGAGGTTTGAGAATCCCTGCTCTAAAGCACCAGTCTAGTCAGTAATAAAAAGTGAAAACCCAGTCTAAGAAAACCTGTCAGGCATGCACTCATGGGGGTTTTGAAGTTAACTGAATGAAGGACTACTTACAGTGGTTTGAGCAGGGTTAAGGCAATCAGACAATGATGTTGAGGTACCCAAGTACCAGCAACAGTAGGAATCTGCTACAACCCTAAGCCTAAAGGAGCTTGGGAGGGTGAGGGGGGGGGGTGTAACTGGAGCTCAGTGAGCACTGGAGCTCTCACACTCAACCAGAGCTGTGCCCACAGGGGGCCTCAACCATTGCCAGGAGAAACATCTGGCCCTTCTCTCTCCTCCCACCCACCAATCTCTGCCTGGTATCTTCCATCTATCAAGTACAGCAGGAAGCCTAGGAATGCTGAGTGATGCAATGGGCCTGAGCCCCAGGGCACAGAGCAGGGGAGTGAAGGGAGGATGAAAGGGAGAGGTGAAATGGACATAACCAACACTCACAGTGTGCTCCTCCCAAGGTTGACCCCTGTCTGGGGCCCTCTTGAGAACCTCTAATGTCAATGAGAAAGTCCCAGGCTGACAGGTCTCAGGTCAGCCCCATCCTGTGCATCATCCTGCTGTACTCCGATAGCATGGGCTTGTCAACTAGAATTTCCCAGCCTGTTGACAGTCTGCGGGGCTCATCTGCCTTTTTTTTCTCAATCAGATATGGCACCACTCCTTCTACAATGAGCTGCGGGTAGCACCTGAGGAGCACCCCACCCTGCTCACCGAGGCCCCCCTAAACCCCAAGGCCAATAGGGAGAAGATGACACAGGTAAGAAGGCAGGAATTCTTGAGCACTGACACAAGAAGCAAATGAACACTGAGCCAGGCTCTTTTCCCTATTCATATCCCAGTGCAACAGAATTGTCTGAGGACCTGCTACGTACATAGTGCATACCAGGCCCTGTGGAGGGTGGGGACGGTATAAAGTAGTAAAAAATGGCACAGTCCCTGCCCTTAATAAGACCACAAACTATTATATAGGCCAAGAGGTGCTGTGATAGTCCTTTATTCTGCATTGTCCTTTCAGATCATGTTTGAAACCTTCAATGTCCCGGCCATGTATGTCGCCATTCAAGCTGTGCTCTCCCTCTATGCATCTGGACGCACAACAGGTGAGCTGCCCTGTAACCCACTCCTTTTCTGACAACAGGAACTCTGGTGGCGCAGTGCCTAAAGCATTTGACTGCTAACCAGAAGGCTAGCGGTTCAAACCCACCAGCCACTCCTCGGAAGGAAGACTGGGCAATCTACTTCTGTAGAGATACCACCTCGGAAACCCAAGGAAGGGCTGCTACGAGTCAGATCTGACTTGACAGCAGTGAATTTGGTTGTTTTTTTTTTTTTTTGGTTTTTGACAATAGGGGAGGCAGAAAAGCTGGATTCTTGCAGAAGGACTCCTCTCTTGCTCAGAAGAATCAAAGGGACAGCTAAAGTCCAGGGACAATTTGCTTAGGGATCACAAATGGGAACACCCATGTGCAACGCAGATGTGAGAGTCTAGTGATATAGTTAGAAAGTATTTACACAAATGAACCATAACTACTAGGATTCTCACCTCCCATATGAGAGACCCAGGTTCCATTCCCAGCCATCCCTCAACTGTCAGTGGAGGCTTGTGTGTTGCCATGATGCTGAACAGGTTTCTGGGGAGCTTCTAGACTAAGATGGACTAAGAGTTCCATGAGTTGGGGGCCAACTTGACAGCAGCAAACAACAACAACAACAGCACATCTTCCCTCACAGAAGTCATTCCAGGAGCTTACACACACATTCCAACAATATTGGAATGTTTCTGCCTCATGAAGCAGCAATGGCAGAACCTGTATTGGTGGATGTGTAAGTAGTGGTCTTGGTATAGGAGGGTGCACAGGGAGACACAGAGGATTCACAATAAAATGACATTAGAGGGACTTGGCAGCTTCCATACATATTGTTCAAATATTTTTTTCATTCATGTAGTCATTGATTCATCCACCAATCCATCCATCAAATACTGTTCAACACTCACTACCATGTGCCAAACACTAGCACCAGACCATGGGCATACAAAAATAAATAACACAGACTCTTGCTATTATGAAGCCAACAGTTTGGCAGGGAAGAGACAGAAGTAAATTTCACTGCAGGTGATAAGGACAATAATGAGAAAATACATGGTATATACAGTTTTGTATCCTGTCCTTTACATTTGATTTTATCTGATTTAAACATTAGATTTAAAGGTCGCACAATACTCATTGTGTGATTGTGCCATAGTTCATTATTTTACCATTTCTCTATTGTTGGAAAAATAATGACAACTATTTCTCCCTTTGATAGTAATACCTCCTATTTTTATTTTCTGTCTTGTTGAATGTCCACGACAATATTAAATAATAATGATGATATTATAGTGTTTCCCCATCAATTATGATTTTGCTGTTGAATCTAGAGAGATATCTTATCACATTGAGAAAGCTTACTTCCTTTTATAGTTTATGAAAAGTTTCATTAGGAAAGAATGTTAAAAAATGTTTTAAATTCCTTCTTGATTTTTACAATCCCTTCCAGTTTTAACATTCTGTCTGTATGTACATATGTGTAAGTTTGGTGCCTAAAAGATATGCAAATTACCCAGTCTCACTTAAAGAATGTGTAATCTAGATCTATCTCATTAACAACCTGCAATATGCAGATGACACAACCTTACTTGCTGAAAGGGAAGATGACTTGAAGCACTTACTGATGAAGATCAAAGATTAAAGAATTCAATAAAGAAAACAAAAATCCTCACAACTAGACCACTAAAGAAACATCATGATAAATAGAGAAAAGATTGAAGTTGTTAAAGATTTCATATTACTTGGATTCACAATCAACACCCATGGAAGCAGTAATCAAGAAATCAGATGTTATATTGTACTGGATGAATCTGCTGCAAGGGACCTCTTTAAAGTATCAAAGAGCAAAGATGTCACTTTGAAGAGTAAGGTGTGCCTAACCCAACCATGGTATTTTCAATAGTCTCATATGCATGTGAAAGCTGGACAATGAATAAGGAAGACTGAAGAAGAGTTGATGCCTTTGAATTTGGTGTTGGTAAAGAATACTGCAAATACCATAGACTGCCAAAAGAATGAACAAATCTGTCCTGAAAGAAGTGCAGCTCTTCTGAGGAATGCTCCTTAGAAGCAAGAATGGCCAGACTTCATCTCACCTACTTTAGCCATGTTGTCAGAAGGGACAAGTCCCTGGAGAAGGATATCATACGTGGTAAAGTAGATTGTTGTTGTTATTGTTGTTAAGTGCCATCAAGTCGTTTCTGACTCATAGCGACCCCATGCACAGCAGAATGAAACACTGCCTGACCCTGCGTCAGCCCCACAATCCCTGCTATACTTGAGCCCATCATCGCAGCCACCATGTCAATCCATCTCGTTGAAGGCCTCCCCCTCTTTCGTCGACCCTCCACCCTACCAAGCATGACATCCTTCTCCAGGGAATGGTCTCTTCTGACAACATGACAAAAATAGGTGAGACGAAGTCTGGCCATTCTTGCTTCCAAGGAGCATTCTGGCTGCACTTCCTCCAGGACAGATCTGTTAGTTCTTTTAGCAGTCCAAGGTACTTTCAGCATTCTTCGCCAGCACCACAACTCAAAAGCATCAACTCTTCTTCGGTCTTCCTTATTCATTGTCCAGCTCTCACATGCATACCAGGCGATTGGAAATATCATGGCTTGTGTCAGGCGCACCTTAGTCCTCAAGGAGATATCCTTGCTCCTCAGCACTTGAAACAGTTCCTTCGCAGTTGACTTTCCCAATGCTACACGTGGTCTAATGTCCTGACTGCTGCTTCCGTTGGCATCAATTGTAGAACCAAGCAACATGAATTCTTTGACAACCTCAATCTTCTCTCCATTTATTGTGATGCTGTTCATTGGTCCAGTTGTGAGGATTTTTGTTTTCTTTATATTGAGACGTAATCCATACTGCAGACTGTATTCTTCAACCTTCATCAGTAGGTGCCTTAAGTCATCCTCACTTTCAGCAAGCAAAGTTGTATTGTCTGCATATCTCAGGTTGTTAATGTAGATAAAGTAGATAAAGTTAACGTAGGTAAAGTAGATAGTCAGTGAAAAAGGGGAAGACCCTCAATGAGATGGATTGTCACAGTGGCTGCAATGGTGGGCTCAGCATAGCAAGGATTGTGAGGATGGCACAGGACAGGACGATGTTTCATTCTGTACATGGGGTCACTAGGAGTCAGAGCCTCCTTGATGGCACCTAATAACAACAACAATCTAGATTTAATGCAGATCAACAAGTGTGCATTACTGTGGAAGTGATTCAAAGGATACATGAAGAGGGGACACTTTATGTGCCCTACTGAAGCCCACAAGGAGCTCTGGGAGCACAGTGTCTAAGGCATCTGACTGCTAACCAGAAGGCTGGTTGTTCAAACTCACCAGCCACTCTGCAGAAGCAAGACTGGGCAATCTACTTCCATAAGGATTTACCACCTTGGAAACCAGTGGGGGGTCGCTGTGAATCGGAATTGACTTGATGGCAGTGGGTTTGCTTTTTTTTTTTTTTAACCAAAGCCCACAGTCTCAGTAGGGAGACAAGATTGCTATACATAAATCCTATATGATTGATAATTCTCATGGTGGGTAAATTTTTTTAGCTGCTAAAGAAAAACATAGTTGAAGATAAATGATTGATTCTGGAAAGAGACAGATGAAAGACAAGAATGGAGTTTTCATTTTTTTTTATCCCCTCTGTCTATAGGCATTGTCCTGGATTCAGGGGATGGCGTCACCCACAATGTCCCCATCTATGAGGGCTACGCACTGCCCCATGCCATCATGCGCCTTGACCTGGCTGGCCGCGACCTCACAGACTACCTCATGAAGATCCTCACAGAGAGAGGCTACTCCTTTGTGACCACAGGTATCCAGCCCCTGTCCTGATTCTGATTTGAGCTCAAAGCCAAACCTAATCTAGGACTAGAAACTCTCAGGCTTGAAGAGAATTCTGTTGTTTTGCGCCCTCAAACTCTTGGGGTAGATTGGGAGGCCCTGAGTTGGGCTGGGCCTCTGGAAAAGACCAGATAGTCAAGGTAGTCTTGTTAAAAGAAGAAGCCTCCCAATCAAGACAGCCTAGTCTAAGGGAAAAAAGGGGGGCACCAGGTTTGCTGGTCCAATAGAGCCAGGTGGAACCACTGAGACTATGGCCCCTAGCTGCCCTTTGGGTCTGGAATCGAACCCACACCTGTGGTTTCCAGCCAAACAAAAGACAGGCATATGAGTTGAACATTTACCTCAAGTAGATACACTCCTTAGAGAGAATAATCATGGGAGAAAGAAGGGCTGCTTATGCACAGGGAGACAGCTCAGGGGACAGGAGCCCATGGAGGTAGGGACATTGGGAAGAGGTAACTGTGGGGAGGAGGTGGAAGGGGAGCTGTTGCATTGTGGTAAACTGTGGTCAATGACATGAGACAAAGTATATGTGAACTGCTGTATGCAAAGTGAATTTGCTCTGTAAATCTTCACCCAAATCACAATAAAATTAAAAAAAAAAAAAGACAGCCTAGTCTAGAGCTCTCAGCAGAGGCCTCCATTTAGTGTCCCTTCTTAGCATCCTCTCCTTCTCCAGGGACCTGGTGCCTTTGTCCACATCCACACCAGGGTCAGAGCTGTTGGGGCCTTGTTAGATGTGTAAATTTGATGCAAGATCACAACATAAAGGCATATATGTCTAAACGGGAAAAAGTGTCCTACATGGAAGGCCCAGAGCTTTGTCAGGGCAGAGTGATGAGAACAAGGGGAAGAAGTCCATACAAAGTTTTTCTTGGAAATCAAGATTTTAAACTTCCACTTCAGAATCAAGAATAGGAAAAATAACATGCTGTGGAGAGATCCTTGAACCTATTTGGGAAGAATTCTACTATCACCCTAAGACTCCATGCAAAGTAGATGTAAGAACGAAGTTTTTGTAAAAATGAACAACCAACTCAACAGGACTGAGTTTCTATCACTTCTACTCCTTCCAGCTGAGCGAGAAATTGTTCGAGACATCAAAGAGAAGCTGTGTTATGTGGCCCTAGATTTTGAGAATGAGATGGCCACGGCAGCCTCATCTTCTTCCCTGGAGAAGAGCTACGAGCTGCCAGATGGGCAGGTCATCACCATTGGCAATGAGCGCTTCCGCTGCCCCGAGACCCTCTTCCAGCCTTCCTTCATTGGTGAGTGCTGCTCATAGAACAGGGCAGAAGGGTGGGTGAGCTACAGAAAGAGAAAAGTCAGCATTCACAATTATTCTGTTTATTGTTTATACATCAACTCAAAACTCAACTCACTGCTGCTGAATTGGACCCGACTCATAGCGACCCCTCCTTGGGTTTCTGAGGCGGTATCACTATGGAAGTAGATTGCCCAATCTTCCTTCCAAGGAGTGTCCGGTGGGTTTGAACCACCAGCCTTCTGGTTAGCAATCAAATGCCTTAGGCATTATACCCCACACTTTTCTAGGAAGGACCAAAAATTATAAATAACACAACTAAATGAAATCATTTAATGAGGGAAAAGCAGGGCAGGAAATATAAGATGAAACTAAGAATAAGATTAATGCGCAGAACACATTGGGTCACTGCTTCTATCACTTACCATTTAGGTCAGAGAGGCTGAATTGTGTAGTGGGTTTTAGGGTAACACCTAGTTTTAAATCCTGATTCTGCTCCCTCCAAACCCTCTGACTTTGGACATGTTGCCTTCTTCAAACTTCAGTTTCCTCATATGTAAAATGGAAATAATGATAGTATCTATCAGAAAGGATTACAAGGATTAAATAAGATAGTATTTAAGAAAAAGACAGCTACTTTCTTGAGCAGGGTATAGGAGGAGACAAATCTGTCACCAAAAGTCTGATAAACAGCAATCTAGACAAAGTGGTATAGGCCTAAGTAATCTGACAAGGCTCCTTGAGAAGGTGCACATATGAATAGACCCTTGAAGCATATCATTTTATGGTATCTGGGGATGGAAGGAGCAAAGAGTGGGGAATGCCATGCAAAGCAAAGGGAATGTGCAAAAGCATGCAGGTGTGAGAGAGCATGTTCTGTTTAGAGGAAAATGGGATGGGAGTTCTGTCTCTGTGTGTGTTTTGATACACAGGGGAGATTGGAGAGAGTTGCTGGGGATGGACCACACAGAACATAGGGTTATTCATATCAGCATTAGGATTGCCCAGAAATTTTAGGCAGCAAGGTAGCAAGGGTAGGTTTGTACTATAAGAAAAGTCCTCTATCTACAGTGTGGAATTATGTTTCATGGAAAAAAGATTGGAAGTTAGGTGGGCATGAGCTAGTTTGACATACAGGGCTTTTCCCTGTGGAAGATCTAGGTGCCAGGCTAAGGTAGTTAGATGTCAATCTGTAGGCAATGGGGAAATGTCAAAGCTGATGATAATGGGTATATCCATATAACGTAATGTTATTGGGCAATACAAAAGAATGAAGTATTGGTATTGCTATAAAATGGATGAACCTAGAAAGCATCATGCTAAGTGAAAGGAGCTAGTCACAAAAGACCATTTACATGGAAGATCCATATTAGGCAAATATACAGGACAGAAAGTATACAAAGTATAACTTTCTGTTGGTGCACTCTGGCAATGTTCAGTGGAAGGGGGAATGGGAAGTGTCTGCTAACGAGCATGGAGTTTCTTTTAGGGATGTTGAAAATGTTCTAAAATTAGATTGACAACTCTGTGAATCTGTTAAAAACCACCGAACCATACACTTTAAAAGGGTGAATTTTATGGTATGTGAATTATATCTCAATAAACCTGTAAAACAAAATAAAAGGATATAATGAAAGTGTTTCTTTAGAAATAGGCATCTGGCAACAATGTGAAGATCTCTCAGAACAGGGAGAATCTAAAGGCAGAGCAGTGGCAAGCCAGGGGAACTGATCTACTAATCCAATTAAGAGGTGATGCTGGGTAGCTCCTTTCACTTAGCATGATATTTTCTAGGTTCATCCATTTTATAGCAATACCAATACTTTATTCTTTTGTTTGAACCAGAGTAGTTACAGTAACAGAAGGGTCATTTGAGGAGCTGGAGGTGGGTATTTCTGACTAGATACTGTGATCTCCACTAGGCATGGAATCTGCTGGAATTCATGAGACAACTTACAATTCCATCATGAAGTGTGACATTGATATCCGTAAAGATTTATATGCCAACAATGTCCTTTCTGGGGGAACTACCATGTACCCTGGCATCGCTGACAGGATGCAGAAGGAGATCACAGCCCTGGCCCCCAGTACCATGAAGATCAAGGTGGGTCTCACCCCAGTTTCATTCTGTCCTCTGTACAAAGATCTACCAACCTGAGAGATGCTTGTAGTCAGGCTTCCACAGGCCCAGAAACTTGGTGGTCTCCAAGGTTCAGTGTCATCCTAGTCAGGGGCAGGTTCCATCTCAGGGTGTTATGTTCCTTAGGCACTGATGGACTGAAGACACGTTTAGCATAGGCACTCATATGTAATTATGTGGATGTCATAGTAGAAGGTGCTGGAATAATTTGAGATGAAGAAAATATTAAGGGGTTGAGGAGAAAATCAAGAAGAGGAAAATGGAGGGGAAGAAAAGAAGGAGGCAACACAATAGCATCTTTAAACTGTAAAAGAACTTGAGTGTTAGCCAAAAGGAAGGTGCAAGGTCCACAAATGTTATGTTTGACCATAAGGCCAACTATTGTTTCAAATCTAAAGGGACATTCCTTGATTTCTATACAGCCTCTGGTCCACTGCCCCATCTTTTGTCTCCTCCCCACACCACTTCTCATCAGAGCGCCTCACCTTGTAGACTTAACCAAATGGAAGTATACCCGTTACCACTGCTCCCCCAGCCTCTGCTCCCCAAGCAATCCTCTAGACCATTTTAGGGCTTCTAGGAAATTTGTTTCCAGCAGGTTTGGAAAAAGAGTTGAGTGTAGAAGTAGCTAATAGATTAAAAGTTACAAAGTCACAACAGGTTGGGCTCTGGCCTGAGCTGAGGATGTATATTCTCTATGCCAATATTCTAAGGATAAGGACCTTCTTCACAAAGGAAGGCTGTCCCAGGCCTTCCTCTGCCTAGCAGATGGTGCTCAGCACAGGGAAGCAGAGCAGGTCACCAGAGCACAGGGACATCCATGGGCTCCTCTCCTCACCTGGTGGTCACTGAAGAGGCCATGATGACTGAGGCCTGCTAGAGGGCATCAGGCCTAGCCTGAGGCAGGGGCTTTTTCCCAGGACCATGTGTCAGGATACACCTAAGTTCTCCCAGATTCTGATCCAGTGGGTCTCAGGTGCCCCATTACTTACACTGATAAATGAACCAGTGATCTGGTGATCTGATGCATATCCCAGTTCATGAGCCACTGCTCTGAGTTCAACTATATGTGGCAGTCTTTCAAGATTTTAGGATCTAATTAGTAGACATGATCAGTGCAAAGGCAACCTAAACAAGAGGAGAGGAAAATCCACTCCAGGTAGGGAAAATTGCATGAGCAAAGGTGCAGAGGGCTATGTTTACATGTACAACATCCCAATCAAACTGGACAGTAGGATTGTATACAGGCATACTTTGGAGACATTGCAGGTCCAGTTCCAGACCACTGCAATAAAGTGAATAATGCAATAAAGCAAGCCACACAAATTCTTTGGTTTCCAAGTGCATATAAAAGTTATGTTTATACTATACTATAGTCTCTTAAATGTAGTCTCTCAAATAGCATTATGACAAAGTTTGAAATATTGTGAGAATTACCAAAATGTGACACAGAGACATGAAGTGAGCACATGCTGTTGGAAAAACGGTGCCAATACACTTGCTCAATGCCACAAACTTTCAAATTGTAAGAAACACAATTATCTGCTAAACTCAATAAAACAAAACACAATAAAATGAGGTATGCCTGTAGAGGAATTGTGGCGATGAACAGCACACAACAATAAGCATTGGTTCCTCATACCTCTGCAGGTCAGCTGGAAGTCAGCTGATCAAGGTCAGGCATGGTTAGGCAGCTTTGCTTCAAGCTGAAGGTTCAGCCAGCTCATGTCAGGGTTCCTGTGTCTCATCACAGAGCCCAGGCTAAAGGGCCAGGAGCTCCTCAGGGGAAGCTCTTCCCATGAAAGTGGCAGAGATGTAAGAGAGCATACCCAACTGCACAAGTATATTTTAAGCCCTTGCTTGGGTCGTGTTAGCAAACATTCCATCAGCCAAAGCAAATACATAGTCCAGCCCAAAATCAAAGAGTGGAGAAGCACACTCTTTCTGTGGTGGGCCTGAGAGTTCTGAGTTCAACCATATATGGCAGCCTTCCAAGAAGAGTTTAAGATTTAATTAGCAGACATGATCAATGCAAGGGTAGGGCATAGTGAAAATTTTGAGCAATGATCTAACCTACCACAATGTTTATCCTGCTTGCTTCTGATCATGGAAGCTGTCCATTCACAGGGCAGCCTTGCAGGGTGATGAGGTGATTTCTGGGCCACCTTCCCTATTTCCTTGGGGACTGATCATGATTCACCACATTTGGTCTTTGCAGATTATTGCTCCCCCAGAGCGGAAGTACTCAGTCTGGATCGGGGGCTCCATCCTGGCTTCTCTCTCCACCTTCCAGCAGATGTGGATCAGCAAGCCTGAGTATGATGAAGCGGGACCTTCCATTGTCCACAGGAAGTGCTTCTAAAGTCAGAATAGATTCTCTCAAGACTGCTGTGTTACCAAACATGAGACATTAAAACCTGCAAACCTTACTTCTCTGTGTGAGGGTCTTCTTTTTCTGGGCTGTGCACCACATATTGTCCTAAGGGCTTTTCCCATACTATTTCTATGAGGAAACTGAGGCTCACAGATGTTAGACTTGCTCAAGATCACACAGAACAAAGAGTAAAATAAAATCCTGCAAAACTAGTGCTCCCTATACCATATAACCTTGCCTTCTTGGCCTTAAACAAGGATAAGAATGACAGCTGGATGACCCTTCATGGTTTAAGAAACATGGGTTTTTAGGGATATAAGTCTTCGTACTCCAGAGCAATACACTGGGCAAGATGAATAGAAGAAGACATGATAGAAAGCTTATAGGATATGACATGTGAGTGGTTCAACAGAATATTATTTGAACTTAGGTAAGGAAAGGTCATCTGGTAGCATAGTGCCTAAGGCACTTGACTGCTAACCAGAAGGCTGGCAGTTCAAACCTACCAGCCACTCCTTGGAAGGAAGGTTGGGCAATCTACTTCCATAGTGATATTGCCTCAGAAACCCAAGGAGGGGTCCCTATGAGACCATCCAACTCCACAGCACATAACAATAACAATGAAAGGTCAGAGTGTGCCTAAGAGCTCTACCAGGTCTTTCGTCATTGAGGATTAGGTTGTATTTTCCCAAAACAAATCTAGAAAAGAGCAGCATTCTTAGGAAAAACATTTTATCTCCTTGCCTGCCCTCCTCCCTCACTTCCTCTCCCCTCTCCTTTTCTCTCCCTTCCTCCTTCTCTTCTCCCCCCTCTTACCTCCTTCACCCCTCTTTTCTCCTCCCCTTCCTGTCTTCACCCTCTTCTCCTTTCCTTTCCTCTCTTCTTCTTCTCTCCTTATTTATTGCCTTCCCACTCTACCCTTGGTCAATTCTGTTTAAGTCTACAAGTGTTTACTAAATTCTTGGCATCTAGTTGGGCAAGGCCACATGGATTTATGTACTCCACAACAATGATTCCTGCCCATCAGATCTCACTGTTTAAAGGGATAGGCAGACACATACACACAATACAATGAGATGAAGTAAAAGAAAAGCACCCATGAAGTACTATGAGGCAATGACAGATAATAATAGCTAATGTCTACTGTGTGGTTACAATACGTTAAGCATTGTGTTAAGAGCTTTAGAGGGATTTCCTCATTTATCTTCGCCACAACCCTATGAGGCAAGTACTAGTATCATTCTCATTTCATAGCTGGTTTATCACTTGCCTAATGTATCCTCTCCTCTCTCCACCAAGCCAAGTCCCATCTTCATGCTATGATTGGATCCCACCTGATCAATCAGCTTTCCCAGACATACCCATTGGATATAGTGGAGCCCAATGGTAAAGCACGTGAGCTTCAGAGTCAAACATTCCTCTTTCATTATCCATTCATTATCCACAACCTTGCCCTCTGGAGGTGGGGTTGGGGTGGAGAAGCATTTTTTTTTTTTTTTTTAAACCTAGCAGATTTACAAAGAGTTGGGAGAAGTAGAAAGAAGAAGAGAATTTTTATCTGAGATTCCCAGAAGCAGATCCTGACATGAGGATTCATGTACAAATAATTTATTAAGGAAGATTTCCCAGGGAGAAAGAGGCACAATGAGCAAGGGAAGAATCCCAGCAAGGGGGCAATCTCAGAAGTATTGATTTGGGTGAAGAGAAGGGCAATGTACCAAATGTGAGTGATCAACATGGTGGCATTGAGGAAGAGGAAGACATAGAGAGGTACATGGGAGGTACAGACAACAAAGATGAACCCTTTTGCACATACAGTACTGCATTGTCAGTGGAGGCAAACATGGGTATACGGGTGGATAGATGGGTGGACAGGCTAAACTATTAGGTATGTCTATGAAATGGGGAGTGTACCCAAGAACATGTATAAGTGTATTTGTATGATCTGAATTCCAGGTGTATAGAGAGCTGAAGGAGCTCTGGTGGTGTAGTGCCTAAGGTACTTGATTGCTAACCAGAAGGCTGGCAGTTCAAACCCACCAGCCACTCCTCAGAAGGAAGGTTGGGCAATCTAATTCCATAGTGATACCACCTTGGAAACCCAAGGATGGGTCGCTATGAGTCAGGTCTGACTCAACGGCACATAACAACAACAACATAGTAGAGCTGACAAGGGACAAGGTTATAGTCACTTCTTGGTCATGGCCATCTACATAGGGGGACAAAGTAGTCGAACCTGTGGGCTCAGGACCATAGTCACAGGGGACATCAAGCTCAATGGGCATAAGGTACTACACAAAACATTGTTCCACCTTCTACTTTGGCGAGTAGTGACTGGGATCTTAAAAGCTTGCAAGCAGCCATCTAGATGCAATGATGGTCTCTCCTTGTCCAGAGCAGAGAAGAATGAAGAAAACCAAAGATTCATGGAAACAATTAGTCCTAGCAACTAGTACACCATGTGATCCACAGCCTGTATAACTATGAGACCAGAAGAACTAGATGGTGCCTGGCTACCACTGTCAACCACTCAGAGAAGGATCTATGTAGGAGATCCTGGATAGAGAGGGAGAACAATGCAGAACAAAACGCAAAATCATTTGGAAAAAAAAGGGGGGTGGGGAACGACCAGGTTTGCTGGTCTGATAGAGCCTGGTGGAACCACTGAGACTGTGGCCCCTAGCTGCCCTTCAGGTCTGGAATTGAACCCACTCCTGTGGCTTCTAGCCAAACAAAAGACAGGCATATGAGGTGAACATTTACATTAGGTAGACACTCCTTGGAGACAACAATCATGGGAGAAAGAAGGGCTGTTTATGCACAGGGAGACAGCTCAGGGGGCAGGAGTGCATGGAGTGATGGACACAGAAAAGAGGTAACTATGGAGAGGAAGTGGGAGGGGAGCTGTTGCTTTGTGGTAAATTGTGGTCAATGTCATGAGACAAAGTGTATGTGAACTGCTGTATGGAAAGTGAATTTGCTCTGTAAATTTTCACCAAATCACAATAAAAAAAGTGTGTGTGGGGGAGCAATTTCAGGCAAAGTGTCAGAGAGAGTAGTTTCAGCCTGACCCCATGTGGGAGCTCTGGAGTGTGTGTAGAGCCTCAGAGATGTCCTGACCAGAGACAAGGGAGTGCACTTTCACAGTCCCAGACTCTTCAGTGATTGGCAAAGGCATACCCTGAGGGTAGTAAAGTCCTAGGTTTCCTGCCTGTTCAGGCAAGGTGCTCCAGTAGGCTGAGGACAGTCCTCCAAAGAAGCGCTACAGATTGATGAAGGAGAAGGGGAAGTCATAGGTTCTTCCCCCACAAAGGGAATCCCAGAAGATAGGGACGTTTCAGAATCTCCATGGAGGGAGGAGAAGGGAAAGCCAACCAGGTCATTAAAAAGAAGACTTTTGCCACACTATTATGACAGAAGGTGGAAACAACCTAAATGTCCATTAGCGGATGAATGAATAAATAAAATGTGGTACATATGTACAATGGAATACTACGCAGTCATAAGGAGAAAGAGTCCTGATACATGCTACAACATGGATGATCCCTGAAAATGTTATGTGGAGCAAGATAAGTCAGACACAAAAGGGCAAATATTATATGATCCCACATACACGAAAGAGGCAAATATATAGAGACCAAAGTTTATTAATGGTTGCCAGGAGAAAGGGTGAATCATTGTTCAGGGGACAGTAAGTTTCTGTGATGGTGGAATACTCCAATCTGGAAAATGACAGTAGTGATAGTTGCCTATTGAATGTAATCAGTGACACCGAATTGTACATGCAAAGATTGTTGAATTAGAAAATGTTTTGTTATACATATATTCACCAAAGTAAAAATAATAATAGTTATTATTTTTTTTTAAAAAAAGCTTTGCAGGCGGTTCTGACATACACTTGCTCTTCCTATCCCCCATATCCAACCTCTTCTTCTAGTTGTGTCAAGAAATGCTGTCCCAAGCTGATCTTTGACAAACGGTCCAAACCCATTAAATGGAGGAAGGTATAGTCTCTAACAAATGCAGCTGGCAAAAGTGGATGTCCATTTGTAGAAAAATGAAATAAGATCCACACCTCACACCATATACAAAAACTAAGTCAAGATGGACCAAAGACCTAAATTTAAAACCTAAGTGTATAAAGTTCATCAAAGAAAAAATAGGGGCAACGTTAGGGGCTCTAATTTATGGCATAAATAGACTATTAAACATAACCAAAAATGCACAAACAGCAGAAGATAAACTAGGTGACTGGGACCTTCTAATAATTAAATTCTTACATGGACCAAAAGACTTCTCCAAAAGAGTAAAAAGAGAAAACTACAGATTGAGGAAAAAAAGAATTGTCAATGACATATCCAACAAGAGACTTACTTCTAAAATTTTTAGAAAATTTCAACATCTTAACATCAAAAAGACAAACAATCTAATTAAAAAATAGGCAGAGGGCATGAACAGACACTTCACCAAAGAAGATATTCAGGTGGTCAACAAACACTTGAAAGATGCTTGTGATCATTAGCCATTAAACCAAACCAAAAACCAAACTCACTGCCGTGGAGTCAGTCCTGACTCATAGCGACCCCTCCTTGGGTTTCTGAGGCAGTATCACTACAGAAGTAGATTGTCCAACCTTCCTTCCGAGGAGTGGCTGGTGGGTTTGAACCGCCAGCCTTCTGGTTAGCAGTCAAATGCCTTAGGCACTATGCCACCAGAGTTCTCATTAGCCATTAGACCATTGCTGTTGTTGTTATTTGCTGTCGAGTTGGACCCGACTTGTATCGACCCCTCCTTGGGTTTCCGAGGCAGTATCACTATGGAAGTAGATTGCCCAACTAGAGTGATGTAAATCAAAACAACAATGAGATATCATCTCACCCCAACATTAATAGCAAAGTTCACCAAGGCAGAAAACAACAAACACTGGTGAGGGTGTGGGGAGATTGGAAGCCTCATACACTACTGGTGGAACTGTAAAATGATACAACCACTGTGGAAAATGGTATGGCACTACCTTAAAAAGATGGAAACAAAAATACCACTTGATCCAGCAAT